CAGGAGGGAAACACCAAATCCAACCGCACTACCAGGGTCTCCAGCCAATGTCCCCCAGAGAACGTTTACGCCAATTCACTCCTGAGAGCTATTGCGGAGGAGAGAACATAGCTTCCACCCTGGTGTTCAGGCATGTCCCACAGCTACCTCCCTGCTGACAGAAGAAAGGTGCTAGAGGCAGCCAGCTGCGGGCACCGAGGGGCCACCTCACTGCCCCATTTCAACGTACCAAAGAGACGAACAATCCCATCTGCAGCCCCAGTGACCAGCAGGTTGCCGTTGTGGTTGAAGGCTGTGCAGTTAATAGCAATGGGCTCAGGCTCCAGGGAGAACTGCAGCTGGAAGGCAAAGTCTGCATTAATGCAGAGAAACGGAGCTGGGGGTGCTGAGACCCTTCAATATAGCTCAACTACGAAAGATGGTACCTAGCAGCAAGAGCTCCTCCAGTTTGGAGCCCTACACCTCACATGACTACAGACTTCAAGGTTGGCAGCTGCATTTTACTGTGACACTAAGCCGACAATTCACCTCAGCCAAGCCACAGCTTTCTTGGCCATGGCCTCGAGGCTGCAAAACCAGCTTCTGACAGGCATTAACTTGAGTATGTTGCTTTCTCATACACATCAGGGACAGCATTTCTTAAGGGCAAATGCAAGGGGTGGGACGAGGATTCCCTGCCAGAATCTGACCCATCTAAATCAAAACAATGGAGAAGATGACAGGAGATGAAACCTCTGAAAGAAGCACTTCACTTAAAAACAGGGAGAGCAGGGGAAAACCCTTCAATATAGCTCAACTGGAGAAAGCCTGAGCAAAGCATCATTCAGTCCACTTGGGACATTTCCACTCACAAACTGTGCGGGCAGGATAGAAACAAGGCTATGGAGTATTTTGAAAAATCCTTCAAAAAAACCCAGCAGAACAAGAAAAACCCCACCCAAACCCAGCAGCTACTTACACTATTCATTTTTATCCTGCTTGTGACAGAGGGGAAAGGAGGAAAGGGGAAAAAGAAGGGTTTTGAAAAGAAAGTCAGCATAATTTAGAAAGAGGGCTCCTACACATTGAAACAGAAGATACTCATTCTCAGCAAGCAGACTGAGAAAGGAAAGAAACCCAGCAAGTACCTGCTGCTTCATCGTTTTAGTGTCCCACAGTAGCAGCTTCCCAGGAACTTGGTTCATGCTTTTGCCCCCGGAGCTGACTGCTGAGAAGTCCATGTGGGAGATGGGGCTCTGGGCTGCCGCAGAACAGACAAAGGAGGCACCACTTGGGCTGCAGGCAAGCGAGAGGATCCTGAAACACAGCAAACAGTCTGAATTGCCTCTCTCCAGCAGCTGCCTCAAGCACAACGCTTGACTATGAGCTCTCCCATTAAGACCCTGCGAGACAGGGTGCACTGTAAAGGAGGGCAGGGTTCGTGTGCTTAGACAGATTTTGAGCGTCTCCCGTTCATCTGAGCGGTTTTACACTGCTCAGACAGGGACTGCCCTCTGGATGAAGGCTAGATAGTCCTGCAGTTGCAGGAAAGCAGCAGGAACATTGAGACTTCACCCACCTTTTCACAGTCAAAAACAACAGCATTTATATTTATACATAAAAATCAGTATTCCAGAGTTACCTGGGCATGTCTTCATCAATGCTGATTTCACAGAGATTCTTCTTTGCTTCCGTGTCATAAAGACGAACTGTCCCGACCCCACTGCCAAGCAATAGCTTGAAACCAGCAACGACGAGATGGAAGGAGTGTGAGTGAGTACAATGATGCTGTCCAACAACCACCAACACCAGAGAGTACATTCTTTTCTACTTATGCATTCGGATTAAACATCACTCCGTTAGGGTACGTCTTGTCTTTCTGTGCCTATCACGCTGAGTAGGACTACCCCAGAACCACAGAAGTCAGAGTAAAAGCACTGCTTTCCAGTGAGAAAAAGATCTGATAGGCACCAAGGCGGAGTAAAAGCCACTTTCTAGAGTATGGCTCAACATTATAGGATGCAAAACATATGTGGAGTCTCAATATCTAGGGGAGCAAGGAAAGAGTAGCACAGAATTAACAATCTAAGTTTAAGAGAAAACCAAGTAGAAGCCACCTCCTTTCACCTGGGAGAGAATGAAATCATTCAGAAGGGCTAACACGTGCTTCATCAGTGGTGCTACAATTTAAATCAAAAGTAGAACCATGGAGGGATGCATCATCAAAGAAAATTAAGCAGGCCAGATCCTTCTCACTTCAGAGCCTGATTTGCTGCTGAATCCCCCTATATTTCAGAAAGAAGAATCTTTCTGTCAGCAAGCAGGAAATAAACTCCACAAAGCAGAAGAAACATCACAACTACTGCATGGACAACTTCCTTTCTAAGAGCAAAAGAAAAGAAAGAGACAAGCTGTAGCACCAGCTCTTCACAGGTGGCATTTTGGGGGTAGCAGTAACACATCATCAGTGCCAGAATGTGAACAATATTCCCTCAGTTGCAGGCCTGCCTTCCCACACAGCCCTGTCTCTTCACCAAGGGAGGGCAGGAAACACCAGCAACAGTTCTAGGACTCAGAAGAATGCATGTAACTTAAGGCTCCTCTCTAGTAACAGAACTAGAGAAAAACTCCTATAGGAAACATTTAAACTGTCATGGTGTTTAAACAAGCCCCGAGCTCCTTAGGCACACACCAACCCCCAACTCATAAGGCACCAGTACAAAACTGGCTATGGAGCCCTCTTCACACCTGCACAAGCAGAATGCCAACACCACACCCCTGCTCTCCCCTCTCTGCTTCTGGCTCAGGGTGTGAGTAAAGCTCCACAGTTCGCTGCTGCAGGGTTCCCATGGGCAGTTGTACCAGGTTGCCTCTGCCTGCCTTTACAAGTGGCTGCCTGCTCTGCCTGGAGAGAGGTACTGCTCTTAAAGAAGCTGCTTCTATCCTGCAGCTGTACCCACGCTGCAGCTTGGGAACTTCTGTCTCAGGGCAACCGGTGATGAATTCCTTGCTCAAGACACAGAGCACACTCCCCACTCTAGTTTTTCTTAGACCCTACAGGCTTCAGTTCCCCATGTCCCACTGAAGTGGAAACTAACTGTTGCCCTGATCTTATCCACAATGCAGCTGTCTAGAAGTTAATGTGCAACACATAGCAACACAGCCCCAGATCACCTGCTGTGACTCTCGAGCCTCCACGTGCAGACTACTCACCAGCCGATCACGCTTGGTCGCCCATTCCAGAGACAGCAACGGAGATTTGGAAATGGATGAAGCTTTAGTTTGCATTATGGGGTTAAAAGACCAGACTTTGATGACCCCGTCCACATCCAAGCTGGCCACCCTCCGTCCAGAACAATCAACCCTATGTGCAGAAGGAAACTGATTGGATATTTTTCTCCCTAAAGTTCCTAGATGTGAGTAGATACCCCAGTAATCCTTGCTCTCCTAGCCACACACCAATTCCTTCTGCAGGAATCAGAACTCCCTTGCACCACTTCCTGTTCAGTCCACAGTAAATGGCACAATGAAGCGCACCAAGCTCTGCATGCAAAGCATAATGCCCTTAAGCAATACCATCCGACTTTCCCAGGGAGTTTCCTCCTGGCTGGCATCTCCCAATCACAAAAATCTATCCATTCTCACTGCACAAGCTACAGGCTCTTTTCAGTCACACCAACTCGACTGCCCTACAACCGAGAGCACATGCACAATGTGCTGGACAGAACAGAGGCTGGGAGAAAGAGGCCAGACGCAGCTGCTTCTCTACAGAGGCTTCTACAAGAAAGCCCTCTTCTGCCAGTCCATTACCTGCAGTACATGATGGATGAATGGTGCTCCCCATACTCCTCCTGGCTCAGGACGATGAAAGGCTGCTCCTGCCGGACCCCCGCAGCCTCTGCACTGCTGGTAGGCATTTTGGTTGCAGCCTCTGCTTGCTCAGCATGCAGCTCTGAGCATGGCTCTGTCTCAGCTGTGCTAATATCTGTTTTCTTCTCTGCACTTTGGCCCTGAAGGAAGAAATCCTGTGTGAAATACAAGGAAGCAGCAGCTCCAGATCAAGCTCTTCAGCCACCCCAGCCTGCTGGGAGAAAAAAACCAAGAAGCTGCACTGAAACAGAAGCATTGTCAGCTCAACACCACTTCTGCCAGGGACCCTTCTGAGCACAAGGATAGCGTGTTGCACAATTGCACCATTTAATATGGCCTCCTTGGTTGTAGAATCCCTTATATCCCCCCTCCACGTGCCCAGCCATACGCTTTCCTGTAAGAATTAAAGGAACTACAACATATCTGTTTGGCATACCTCAGCTGATACAGAGGCCCATTTTGATCCCATTAGAGCACAGATTCACAAGCAAATCAACATATTTCAAGGAATTCCTGCATTCAGCAATATGTTAAGTCTGTATAATATGCAGATCAGTAAACCTGCACAAAACCTCTTGTTGGATGGTGAGCCCCAGTGGATGGATTATCCTTGTCTGCCAGAGATTTAGTCTGTGCACGCTGGGTCAACCACTGCAGCCAACTGACTGATGACAATGGTAGAGTCAACACGAGTCCAAAAGCTTAAAACCCAATTTGACAGGGCAAACAGAATAAAGGGAGTTTTAGGAGGTGAAGGTATCTGAATGAGCCAAGATCTGCACTGCAGCACACAGAAGTGTTTCAAAGCAGCTTAGTCTTCCCTTGCCACCAGAAGCTGAACAAGAAGCAGATACAGCACATAAGCCAGCAAAGCATCTGCAAGCATTCCTTTGCTAAAGCATTCTCTGAAGAGGAAATGCCCCAAAATGGTATCGGCATTGATGGTTTTGAATCCCTGTTCCCTAACAAATCCTTGCCTTATTTATAGTAGCTTTCACATCTTGAGCAACAGGTCAAACACTGCATAATCAAATAATCTGAAATCACAAAGCTGGAAAAGATTGGGAAATAAATCCAAGAATGCCTCTCTCTATGTTAGTTAATGTGGGGAGATAACAACCCATGAATGACACTCATGTGAAAGAAACAGTGCCGCCTTTCAGTTTCCCTTTTGCTCACGTGTGTTGAGAACAACAGAAAGCTAAATAGCATCAGCTTCCCCTAGAGCACCCTAAGCAACTTTTACAAGGCCTGGAAAACACTGCCTTAACATCACAGAAAAAGGGAAGTCAAAGGATACTTAATGGGAAACTGGGCTTTACAATTTTCTGACCAACGTTTAATTAAAATGTTTTAGATGAGCCATGAAGAAAAAAGTTCTCTCATAGCCTTGAATGCTCAGTGGTGGAGTAACATCTCCTCTCTAAAGCAGCACTCCCCCACGCAGAACAGCCACAAATACGGGCTGATAGGCAACAGTCCCTCAGCACTGTCTCTCCCCCAAGGCAGAGCGTCTCATACAGCCAGAATAAACATGGCTGAGATGCTGCCATCGTTCCTCCTGTGCTCTGTATCCTTTGACCACATGGCTGCTGAAAGCCTGACAATACACAGGTGAACAGAAGTAGCCCGCTGACCTTCAGTGGTTAAAATCCAGGACCCACAGGAGAGAACTCACTTGGGTAGGATGGGTGAGCCAAGCCCATTGCCACTAAGGAATGGGGATTATAACAAGATATTTGAACATAACCATTAAGGTGGATGAAACATACCCTCCCCAGGACCAGGCTGTTGAAAAGATCATGACAAAAGACAACTCTTCTTCCGATTCAAATGTCAGTACCGATTCCCTTTCAGGGACAGAAATAAACCAAGTGTGGAAGGAGCTGATTAACTACAGAGGTTAACCTTTGATACAGTTAGATCTGAGTAGCAATTCAGAAGCTTAACGGGAACACTTGCACTTGTTTTACCACCAAGCACAACAAACTACAGAAATACCAGCCCTCCACTTCCCAGCCTTGCAGTGTTGCCCGGTACCTGGAAGGTCCCTTTTGACAGCAGCTCCTTCCTTTCCTTCCCATGCTCTTGCAAGCGCTTCTGCCGCTGCTGCAGGGAACTTGATTCGCCTGCTACTAATCCACTGAAGTGGCTCTTCCCGTCCTTACAGCTCACTGTTCCTTCTTTTCCTTTGGCACTCTGGAAGGCAGAGAAATGATTTGGCAAAGTTACACTTGTGCCAGGCTGCAGAACAAAGAGCAAAAGAGGAGGCAAAGAAACCAAGCACATGCAAGGGCTCCACAAGCCCCCAGACAACAGCAGCTGTTGTTGTGCTGTATTCAGGCCCAGCATACCCTTGCAAGGAAGGAAAGGACATTTTATTTTTTCAGGTGGAAGCAAAAGCTTGGAGCAGTGCTGTGCTGCAAGTTAACTCCTTGGATACTGAGCATCTTTCAGCAAACACAGTTGAGACTCACCTGGTGATTTGTTGGTTCCTTCTTCCCTAGCAGCATACTGCCAGTCTGCGTTGGAGAGGCCCCAGTTGGATGGGCTGGTCTGGAAGGGCCCTTTTTACTTTGGGAGAGAAAAGAGGACAGAAAGCCTCCCCGGGACTGAAGAGAATGTGCAGTACTCCTCTGGCTGCAGGTCATAGCACTAATTAAAAAAAAAAAAAAAAAACACCAAACAAAATATAAAAGTGTAGCCAGACAACCTGATCAAAGACCACCCAACAAGCAAAGTGCCAGCTGTTTGAACCACTGGAGGACAGATGTTCCCTTCCAAGACGATGGACCACTACGCATTAAAAAGCTGTTTTAAAACATCCTGTTAGTGCCTGGAGCACATCATTATAATTGCTGTAACCAAAGCTCACTTCTCAGAGATGCCGCTGAGACAGTGGGCCCAGCTGTTCCTGAATCCCCTGTAGGGCCTCCTCGAGCTCCTTCCACTCCATCTGGTTAGTTTAGAAAGACCCTAACAGAAAGGCAGGGGAATCCAGATTTCCGAAGAACCTGTTCAGCCAGGATCCCCAATTCAAGGCATAAAACAGACCTACTTTGAGAGGCATTCAGTATCCAGTGTTTCACTGAATACCCTTAGATATTCAGCAACTCATGTTCAGCAATTTTAAAGCACAGGCCCTCAATATCTCAAAAACTGGTCCCAAAAAAAAAAAGAATGTTTAGGTCCATTTCTATTACACACACCTCCCTTCTCAGCCCACAAGGCCAAGAGCAGCAGCTGCTTCCCAGAATTTAACTGTCTGACCTCACTCTGCTAGAGCTTCTTCCAAGAGCAGAGCAGCACCCAGACAAAGGGGAATACAATCACTTTCACTGTCTATCCTGTCTTCTAGGAAGGAACTGTTTTACCAAAGTTGGGCTTTGGGTTGAGCAGAGACATGGAAAAACCAACCAGAATTGGCCCCCAGACTAAGTTGCAAGTTGCACACACAAGAAATGCCACTTCTAAGGCAAGTTTTTCTAATACAAATGGACAAAAATTAATATGGGAATAAATTATCTCATCCCTCACATCCCTCCTCCCCCATGTGTGCAGATAAACATCAGGGCTTTCCACACTGAGTAGTTAAACAAAAAAAAAGTCTCAGATCAAACTCTGTAGCCTGTCCTGTGCAGAGTAGTTATCAAGATAGTTCACAAGAGACTCTAGTCTATTTAATCACACAACTTTTAGTCTAAAACAATGACTTTGTCTGTGGTCTCTGCTACAACTTCATTTGTCATTATCAGCAGCATAATCTGATCAATCCCCATCCTGTCTGAACAGAAGTGAAAGAAGCACATGAGAGTCAAAGCTCCAGCAGTGTTATTAATACCTTGTGGATAAGCTACGTTTGCTTTCAGATCCTTTTAAAGCAAGGGAAAAAAATAAATCTCAGTAACACAATGAATTCAAACACACAGACTTGCTTTGCATGGGGGAAAAATAAGAATTTAAATAACAATTAAACAAGGTGTATCACCGTGTATGTTGCCTAATTTCCACAGATAGGAATACAATAGATGTAGCCATAAAACACACTTTAACTGCAGCAAGTTTATGGGGAATTCTGTGCATAACAGCCTCGCAGAAGAAAAACTCCTTTTCCCTTGACTTTGCAAAAGCAAGAAAGCATGTCTGCGCAACAGTGACCCCTTTGGGTCATACAGTAACAGTGTCTACAAAACAACACAGGGCACTCACCTACTGCACTGTAGGCACTAAAGAAAATAGGAGTCAAGAGACAATCCACTTCATCTGAGCAATACTGCAGAGTATTGCACTGCTACCAGTGCCCTGGTTGCCTAGAACACCTTCGTATAATGCTGAAAGCAGAGCAGAATCACTTCCATGTGTGCTTGGGCTCTCACCGATTGGCAAGAATCTCTCTCCCAAATGGCAGGAGAGATGCCCATCATGAATTCCCCCATTAAACCCACTTAGGTCACCAGAATTTCTGCCTGGATGTCTTTCTGCATTGATTCCCAGGGCACGGAACAAGGAAATGACCCTCCAGGAGCCTCCCTGACCCAATAAAAAGCAGCAGAGCCTATCCCCAGTTCCTCCCCTGCAGGCACTCACAGCTCAGAGTCCCCTAGTCGATCCATGTTGGCCACATATGCAGGCAACTTGTGATGCACAACTGCTTGTTCCACCTCCAGTTCCTCTTTCTTCATGCGGGAGGATTCGGCCTGCAAAGCAAACAGCTACAAGGAGAGAAGAGAGCCAAGTAAACAGAGGGTCACTGAGATTCACCTCCTTCCCACTTGCTGAAGTTTTTTACTCCTTTTATTTCAACAGCCCTAGAAGGGTGGTGAGGGAAGAAAGTTGCTCTGACTGGCTGAGCACCACATTAGTCCAAGTAGTCAAAACAATCAGTACTTTACACGCATGAAACTGGAGCCTACTCAAAACCCTTCACTCCTCTCCTTGGGCTGTTGCTGTAGGGACATTAATGGTGCTAGGAAATAAGAGCCAGCCAGGGCAAAGCTGATCAGCCACTCCATGCAGGCAGTTCAAGGCCAGGGCAATGCATGTGACTGGCAGTAGCGATCTATGGGCACTGAGCCTAGAAGGTAATCTTCTTCCCACAGACAAGGGTTTGGTGAGCTAGCAGGGTGCATTGAGGCCAACACCATCAGGTCACCCTGAAATCCAGCTCCACACCCTGCCCAGCTCCCTCCCAAGCATGACAGTGAGATTTATCTCCACATTATGGAGAAAGAGACATTTTTCTTTTTCCCCCCTTAGCAGAGAGGAACCTCGGGATGCAGTTTTCTGTGACGGATGTGGTTTATGCCTGTGACTCTTGTTCACATGAAGAGTTCCTCAGGCTTTTCTGTTTCTGTACACTTGTTTTTCAGATATAATTTTTCTTCTTCCTTTTATCATAGTATTTAAGGAAAGAAATTATAAGAAAAAGGAGCTTTAGAAATCCAGCTTGCTATTCATGTATTTGCATTGTTTCAACGGTGAAATCAGAATCACTACTTAATTTCAACTAGCATCAAATTCAATATTTATTCACAGCATTTTTTATTTACACTTGTATTCTATAGGTAGCTGCTTCCTTTGCTGACCTGAGCAGTTCTCCAAAAAGGAAAGTCTAGTTTTACCTCTGCCTATTTGCCAGACAACACTTAATGCAGTCAACATACCACAAACAAAGAACAGCTTTAATTTGACTAGAAGTACAGAATACAAAATTGGAGGAAAAAGAGCTCTATTTCAAAACATACCTTATCCTGCTGTCCCTATTCACTGGCCATCTTTGCAGAACCCTCCTGTCAAAGTTTGCCTGATCCACTGACTCCATACAGTACACAGTGACAAGCCTTGCTTTTCTTTTGCAAAAAAAGCCTCCTTTTTGAAATCAATTATTCTATTTTACTTCAACATTTTTAGGACAAATGAACAGTGCTGATCAGCTACCAAACAGTTGAAACAGGAAGCACAACATACAACATAATGTTTTGTAACACAGGAGGTAAAGCACAAAACTTAATTTACTGAAGTATTCATAGAGGGCTTTTACTTGGTATGTTTGAGGAAGTGAAACTGAAGTCCTGCTTACATGAATAAGGCTTCCCACTTGTACATGATCATCCACATGTGATCTGTATTTTAGAAAGTTCTTAAACTGTAGATTTACCGAATGTCTCTAATAGGAAATTCTACTGGGAAAGGACCAACCTGTGTGTTATATTCTTACACCCTCTCTCTAAGCATCTGCTGATGATAGTGTCAAAAGCAAGACATGGGGCTGGGTGACATTTTGCCTGAATCAGTCAGCCCTTCTTACAGTTTACTGTAAGGTCTAGAGTTGGGGAACAGACATTCACAATGTTTCCATTAGTTCATCTAAATTGTTTTAAGTGCACTTCAACTATGGTGAAGTGGCCATTTCAGAAGTAACGGTTTCTGCCTCTTTGCCAGAAGTTATTTCCCATTCCTATTGCTCCATCAGCTAAAATCTGGAAGTGACTGAATACTATTCACAAGATTCCATGCAAAGTCAGCCATATACACACTTAACCTGGCACTAGTTTCAGCTTGTCTTGACTTTGCAGTGTAGCAGGAAAGGAGTTTGCACAGTATCCAGCCATCTGTCAGATAGCACAGGGAGAGGGACACTCACCTCCAGCAGAGGGACAGTAATACCCTAAACAGACATTTCACACTATGATCACAACCTTAAAATGCTGGAGACAGTTGAAAGATAAACCAGAATAACAAAGGACTAATAGAAGAATCTGCCTTGGAATCACTGCACTGAACAGTTACAACTTTCTTGAATGGATGGAACCAACTTTACAAAACTCACAGCCTCATACAGTCAGCAACTAAAGAGTGACTTCAGTTCTGACCTTATGCCGCAACGATTCATTTTCTTCTTGCATGAGACTGCTCCTGAGACATTCAGCTTCAAAGTTCAAAATGACTGGAACTGGTGAGGAATGTTAAAGAAAACAACGGCAAGAACTTGTGTGCACCTGGCTTAATTCTAAAAGCCAGCACTTCATACCAGCACTTCATCTGCCTGTAAGACAGCAGAGCTGCCCAGTCCGTACTACTAGCAAGAATTAGGTGCAAGGCCAAAAAGACTAGTAACAGCTTAGTTACCTAAGCCAACTTTGTACTTTCTTTGTACTTTACTGTTAGACAAACTATTTCACTTAGGCTTCGCAAGGATTTTTAGATTCTTCCTTTTGATATGTCAGAAGTGGAAGACAAGACAGGTTATGCTACTGCATTAGCGTACATTGAAGAAACAGTTCAAGATGAGCTATATTCCAGCTGCAGTGTAAACCTGCCCATCAGCAAACAAACAAGGTCAGAACTCGGTAGTGTGGGACAAAAGCTGTTATTTCTGCCAACATTGAACTGCCCTATTATAGTGAGCTGTCACTAGACAATGTTGTGAACATACGACCCAGAGAAGGGTCTAACAGGAGATGCTAGTTCAGTCATGGACTATGACCCAAGGTTGCATGCCTGTTTTGTACTATGCCAAGCAAAGAGGAAAAGCATTTCAGAACAAGATGTGCAGACGATTTCTAGTCACTAGCATAGGGATGAGTTCAGCATTAGGAACAACCACAATTGTTTGTGCCCAGGGAATATAATATATCATCAGATAATTGAACAATAACTATTCCAACATCCTCTGGTAAACACCAGCTTCCTATTAAGTCTTGGCTCTAAACAATCACCTGAAAGCAGCAAGTTCTGTAATACTATATTCTTGGCACCACTGTTAATAGTAAGCATAACACCAGGGCAAGGGAGATTTAACTATTAGTTGCAAAAAAGGATATGCATGCACTGAAATAAGACACTCAGGAAGTTGTGCAGAGACACAATAAATGTATCTGCCCACTGGCGCGAGAAATAGGTGGCGAAGGTGGGGTTGGAGTCTGGGGCAGGGAGGAAGGGCAGGACAAACCAATCCTTCCACTCCGCCTGGTTCTGGAGCTCAGAGGCCTGCTTGAGGAAAAACTCCTGCGCCTTGTCATTGCGGCCAGTCTGAAACACAGCAAGAAGAACAGGGCTCACACTTCCAGTCATGCCACCACATGGGTTCTAGGAATATTTGCTCTGTGTTATGAACGCACTAATAACTACTTTCACCACCCAACAGAGCAAGTAGTTAGAGTTAACAGATTCGTCTAGGAACAAAAGAATCTCAAATAAGCTAGGAGAAGCTCACAAATGCACTTAATCCAACCTTTCTAGTCACCACAGTCTTGTTTAAAGGCTGAGGCAAATCAAAATAATCACTTACATTGATTTCCAGCTAAACCAGTGCAGTTTGTGCACTGACATAAGACATGAGCATTCATATACAAGACCAAAGTATACTTCAAATTACTCAAGTCTACAGCAGATGTAGCCTGAAAAGGTTTCCACCTGATACATTGTTCAGACAGGACAGTCACGCCTCAGGGTAAACACAGGGCAAAACAAAACATGAAAAAACACACTACCTGAAATATGCATTAGATTTTGATTCCTTCACCAACACCCATAATTTAAGATTTTCAGTCAGAGAATGGAATCAAGAAGGAAACATTGCTTCTAAATGGTAAGAAATGAAATATGAATTCCTGACAGGTACTTGTTTATTTTGTTGGCCAAAGCCCACCCTGTGTAATATATTCCATTGACTTTCCTAGGGTTTCAACAAGATAGTCTCTGCTCCATTTTGAGCTCATTCTTTTCTGTTCTATTCAAAGCAAACAAAAAGCATTCACTCATTTTCTCTCCCACGTTACCTTGTACAGATTTGAAGCCCGCTTCTCCCCTCTCTTACAAACTAAAACTCAACTCCACCAACTTCAAGTCACCTTTTTTTTTCTTCTGGACCCTCAACTCCCTTGATGCTTTAAGAACTCTGGTGCCTGGAAGGACTGGCTGAGTCCTGCCAGCAGGTTAGAGTGGAAGGAATACAGACAATCCTGCCTGCTGATCCCCAGCGCTGCAGTAAGGCCCTTCCCTGCACTGCTGCTGCCTGCTGAATTGTTCCTTATTCTGCACCGGAGCAGCTGACTACTCCTACCTACATACATATGCTTGGGGCTTTTTTCTGCCTGTTTCTTCAACTTAGGAAGATTACTTTGAGCATTGTTCTTGTCTTCCTCTGTTCTCGTGGCAATGTCCCATGAGGAGGTGTTTACTAACTTTGGGGTCTTTCCTGGTGTCCAAGTTATCAACAAAGGCTGAGCAGGCTGAGCTAGCAGTACAGCCATCCTGTCTGAGGGGGACCTACCTTCATGTCTGAGCATGAGTATCTTGCTCCCAGCTAACCATATTTCCGTCTCGCTTCAGCTTCCCTACCCTGCTTACGAGCTTGTCATGTGAGTCCGCGTCAAACTCTTTACTACACTCCTGATACATGACACAAGGATTGCTTGTCCCTTACCCACCAGGCCTGTCAGAGGCTCACAGGGGTATTTCATTGCTCTGGTTTCAGAAACCAGGATCTTTTTAAAACAGAAGCCTAAAAATCAAACACTACCTGAACAGTATGGATGAGGTAGTATCGGAATAAGCTGGTTTTCAGCTTGTTCACTGTTGGTCGGTACACATCTTCCAAACGGCTGAAAAGGCGTCGGTCAAGATAATTCCAGTAATCCCGCAGGGCAGCCAGATCATAGCTCTGAACAAACTGCTGCAGCTGGTCCACTATCTTATCCACCTAAAGAGGGCAAAACAGGGAAGACCGCAGTCACATGAGGGCTCTTCCAGCACAAGAGACTTTCTGTAACCTAATGCTGAGAAGCTTTAACTGCACAAATAATACTACAATCCAGCGTTAGTTTTTTTCCTAATCCAGGAAACACTCTGCGTTTTGTATTAGCATTCTTCCACTCTGCAGCACCTTTCAAATAAAAAAAAAAAAAGAAAGAACATAGCCTAACAGGTTTTGACATAAAGATCACATTTTGTTAAACACAGTTGGTGGGGTTTTTTGCAAGTAAGCAAAACATTTCCACATCTTTCAAAAGTCAGCTGATAATGAAGAAACAGGAATAACGTGATTAAGTGTTGAAAACTCAAGTGCGGCACCTGGAAAATAGTCTTATTTTTAGACTAAAAGGAAAAAACTGCATTTAGCCAACAGAAAGAGGAAGAAAGATCCGTTGTACTGCAATCTTTGAAGTACCTTTAATAACATCATCTACTAACAAGGCAGGCATAAAAGTTTGCAACAGAATTTTTTTTTGTCATTATGTCTCTTTGAAAATCATTTCTGCAATATGAATAAGGCAGAATGGTGGTAGGGGAATAGATTTTTAGTTCAGTGATTTCTGATGGTCAAGACAGGCATCAGAAAAAAAAAAATCTGCACCCTATAAAAAATTCAACTACCAAAGTTGTTTAATATGTGGTTTGCTCTCCCCTTATCAGTTAATGTCTTAGGACATCATCCAGCCTCTATCTCTGTGGCTTCCTACAGATAAAGGAAACAGAAGTCGGTGACCCCAGCAGTCCCTTCTTATCTTGGACAGTATTATCCCAATTAAATCAACTGTTTGCCAACCTCTCAACATCAGCAAAGTGCTTGTTGTTCTAAAAATAAAAGCAGCATGTTTTATGAATGAAAAAGGTAGTGGTTGTACTCCTGGTTAAAGAAAAACCTGATCGTTCAAAACACTACATTCAGTGCCCAAAACTGCTGCTACAGGAACGTGAAGCTCACGCAAAGGACTGAAACTTATTTTCGAGGCTGGCACATTCTGCACCAATTTCCACACATCTAGCAAGGTAGCTGGTGCTTAAAACATCCAAACTAAGGAGCGGAACTGTAAAGCCGCTGGATAAAAATCTCATGACCGAGAAAAGATCCAGGCAAAGAGATGTCCTCCTGCCGCTGCCCCCTCGTACGCGCATCTCCTCCGTTCCTCTCGGCACGAAGCTGAGAAACATCTGGTGGTTTACAGGTCGGACGTAGGGTCCACAGACGGCGGTTTTGGACGGGCCGAGCAGACCGCCCGCGCGGAGCGGCTGGCCGGGAACTGCGGCCCCCGGCT